TCAGAAATCATTCTATGCTGATTTTGTCCTCAAGAAACAGTTCAATGATAAAACAGTTGTGCTTCTTATTTTTATGGAAACCTTGATTTAAAAAAAAAAAATCAGGATTCTTTGATGAATAGAAAGTGCATGAGAACAGCCTTTTATTTTCAATATATAAACTTTTTTTTTTTTTTTACTTTTGCTCAATTTAATTCACCCTAGCTTAAAAAAACTGAATATGTCCTTGCTTATTTTTAAAAATCGTCCTGCTCCAGTAGTGTAGTGTTAACCCTCAAACCGTATTCACTTTATAGCCCTTAATCCTGTAATTGTGGACAAATGTGGGCACAGAGGACTTCGGTGTGATCCTAATTTTTATTTATTATAAATGTTATATCACTGTCTTCGATAAAGTTTTTTCTATTCATTTATGGTGTTTTTTTTTATTTGGGGGGTATTTTTGAATTTATTTACTTCAAAAAGTACCATATTTTCTATGTAAATTATGTTTATTTATTTTTATTTTTTAAAACTACATTAAAATATCTTTCCAATAAGTTCTTAGAGCTAAAACCTAAAGGTTAGTGACTTTGCTGTCACCTGGTGTCTTATTTTGGCTTATTTTAGAATGCTCTAAATTGCAGTTTTTCCCATTCATTTCTATGGGTGCCCATTTTTGACCCAAATACAAGATTAAGGAGGGTTTTTTTCACCCACTTAACATTGTTGAATTAAGTCAAATAAAAAATTGTGTGTGTTCAGGAGGCAGACTTAGGAAAAGTAGCCAAGTCTTGTACCGCTCAGATCAAGGGAAGTATTTTTAAAAAATAAATCAAAACTATTTTCCCTACAGTTTTACGGTTAAAATAACGCCATCTAATTTAAGTTCTCTTTCATCCAGCTATTTTTATTAATGAACTAATTAATGGATAGTTTATAGTGCCCCCCCTGCTTTAACTTGTGGCTCCATTTTTATAGTCACAAGACAATGCCAATTAGATGAAAATAAAACCTGAAGTGATATGTAAAACATGAATAACTGTCTGCCATGGATGACTATCAAATACTGTTTACAAAACATATAATGTCATCATACAAATGTTGGACAGCCCGATAGACCAATAAGAATCAAGTATTCCAGAATGAGTGTAATAAAACTTCCAGTTTCCTATATGAACCTGATATAAATGCATCTTAACATCCCTCATAATTACGGGCTTTTGGTTCATAGCTCTGGTCTGTTTTCAGCTATTTTTTTGGTTCAGCTGTCCATATCTGTGATCCAAAAGTTCGAAATGGAAATCGACAACTTGATATGCCATTAACAGTAAATTGGTCATATCCCCCTTCTCCCTGATAGCACTACGCTGCATGTCTCCTTGGTGACTGTTCCTGCTAATAGCTGCACATGCACACACAGGTGTGTTGATGGTGGAGCCTGACCCTGCACCGGGCATCAGAATTCTGGGATTTGTTGCTTTCTGCCCATGCCAGTTTGGCCAGCAGCTGCTTGGCACTGAGAGTGGCGGTTGATGGTACAGACCTGGAGAGTAGTTATTTAGCCAGTGTGAAGGCATTGTTAGGCCATGTCAGATGGGTTTACTGACTCAAAAAAGGACAGCAAAAACTAAAAAGAAGTGTTTCACTAGCAGCAGCTAGACGCATGCAAAAAGGATTTTTTTTATAAGCAATGTGATTTTATTGAATATACAAAAAAGGTTCAATAGGGTTCTATGAAGAAAGGATCTTGACTCAATTTTAAAGAACATTTTGGTACCGCTTCCTTTTACAGAAAGTACTTACAGTATACATACAGTGTACTTGCCTAGAAAGTACTGGCTAAAATAAGGTAAGTACATGGAACAGGGGTAGGTTTAGGGGTAGGTTCAGGGTTAGTACCAGTTATTACCCAGTAATTAGTTACTAAAATAAGTACATAGTATTTACATGGGTAACTGGACTGTAAAAGGAAGCGTTACCAACATTTTCCGCTTTTGACATTCTACTAATTACCTAGTTATAAAGGCATAAAACTGTAGTCTAGATGAGTTTTGAGCAATCGCAGCGTCATCTACATATCGCAGCTGATTGGTGCTGTTGCGTGAGTGGCCAATGAGCTGCGGCTCAACTTTCAAACAAATGCCGATAGTGTTGCTGTTCGCTCTCTGCAATGTGCTGTTGTGCAAATTTGTCAATGATGTCACGCAGGTGGTGGAGTAATAACTTTTTTCTCGGTTATTTTGCTTTATTTACTGAGCATGTACGCATATTCACTCTTCAAAAACGCAGCTTTAAATCTCTTCGCAAACTAGATGACTAATACTCTGAGAGTCAGTTGACGTAGTTTCAAATAGAATGATAATCAAGATTTAATGTATTAAAAAATGTTTATATGCACTTCTTCTATAAAGACATGTATTAGTATTTGGAAAATAGCATGGAAAAGCATACTGGTCTTGGCAGCAGGTCTCAATTTTGAAAATTTGAAGTGTTTTCTTCAAATACCGTGACATTGTGGCAACCTCAATTTTCTGCACAGGATGAAATGCTTCAACTGGTGAAAGCAGGCACATTTTGCCCACATGCCTTCCAGTTGAACCTGTATTAATTTGTCCTCTCTGGCGGAGCTCCCTGTGGCCCCTTAGGGCACCTGATGGATGGGTGGATGTACAGGTTTTGCGAGGACTTTATAAAAAGTCAGCGAGATGATATGTCTGTACCTAGCTCTCGTCTCCTGCAGCTGCTCCTAACAGGTGCATAACTGCTTCTTACCAGATGGTCAGCAAAATGTGCTAGTTGGCAGGTTTCTTCACAGAAGCTCTCACACAGGCACTGAGACGCAGAGATGGAGAGAAAGAGGTTAAAGAATGGGAAAGGTTGGTGACAGAAAAGTTATAGCAAGCAAAACTCATTTTTTCAAAAACCTTTTACTTGTTTTGAAACTATGTGAATGCCGCTTTTTCAGAGTGTAATTCTGCACTAAATCGTTTCAGGTGTCACAGTGAAGTCGAAAATTGAGAAAGGTAGAACTTTTTTTATATTTTGAATAAACTAACGAGGTTGAGAAAGGCAGAGGACTCAAGCAATTAGCCAACTGTGTTACAGTTGTTTTACAAAGTAAAATGGTCGAGTCTTGGGATGGTCTTTCAGCATGGATCCATCTTCCCTTGCATCAAAAGTTCAGGCTTCTTTTGGTGTTATGGTGCGAGGGATATTTTCTTGGTACATTTTGGGCCGCTTAGTGCCAGTTAGGGTTGGGTATCGTTTGAATTTGAACGATTCTGATTCCGATTCCGATTCCTTGTTTCGATTCCGGTTCCTAACGATTCTCGATTCCGATTCTTTTAAGAGGCAGGGTCAAAAAAGTTTAGCTAACATTGCTAACCAACGGTCTTTCTGAAGGAAATAATCCTTTCTGAAGGAAATACTCCTTCTGTAAAAATACTCCTTTTGTCACAAATTTTGCATTTTGCCGAGATTTCGTTAGAAAAGCGAAGCCACACTTTGGATCGCCGACGTAAGGTACTCATGTTCGACTCGCGTGGTTATGCCAACACTTCCGGTAGACGCTTCTTCGTTGGTGTTGTTCAGCAGTTTCTTCTTCCGCTCGGCGGACTGTGAATATCGAAACTAGGAATCGAAATTTTAACTTTTGAACGATTCCGGGAAAAACGAAAAGTTAGTCTCGGTTCCAATCGATACTCGATTCTCGATACCCAACCCTAGTGCCAGTTGAGTATTATTGCTGACCATGTCGACAGTGTTCACATCTTCTGATGGCTACTTCCAGGAGGATAATGGAAGTCACAAAGCTCAAACCATCTTAAAGTGGTCTCTTGAACATTATATGGGCTCCACAGTCACCAGATCTCAATCCAGTAGAGCACCTTTGGGTTGTGCTGGAACGGGAGATTCACATCATGGATTTGTAGCCGTCAGATCTGCAGCAACTGCGTGATGCTATCATGATAATATGGACCAAAATCTCTGAGGAATGTTTCCAGCTCCTAGTTGAATTTAAGCCACAAAGAATGAATTAATTAAGGCAGTTCTGAAGGCCTACAAATACATGCTATTTTTATTAATTAAATAATTGACTTTTATTAAATAATTACATTTTTTACATTTACAAATAATGGAGCTGCTCCATTCAGATTAAAGCATCTGTCTTATTATCTTCAGATACTGAACTGTCCACTGGTAAGGTAATCAGATGCAGTGATCTCTTAGTTTCACAAACAAACACCACAATGCCCGATGCTGTCTCTCATCAACCCCAAACAATCAAGCTCTCTCCGAGAGAGAAAGACTAAATCAATATGAACACCATGCACCAGTCGTGTGTGGATGCTGCAGGATCATTGGGAGTGTGTGCTTGGCCTCAGGCATTAGTAGTGCAGGGTACTCATCCTTCCCATAATCCTCCTAACGGACTACTCTGAACATCTGGAATGAGAAGTGAACATCTGCCCGTCCTTATAAATTTGTCTCTCACTTTAATTTACCACCGTGATGTCAAATCTGAATTATTCCAGTTTTCAGTGTCACATGATTCTCGAGAAATCATTCATGTTGAAAAAAATTATGTTCATTTTTGTTGTTGTTGTTGGAAAACTTTTTTTTCAGGATTCTGTGGTGATTAGAAAGGTCAAAAGAACAGCATTTATTTGAAACAAAAATCTTTTGTAACATTTAAGTGTCTTTACTGTAACTTTTGAGCAATTTAATGTGCCCTTGCTGAATTAAAATATTAATTTCTTATAAAAAATCTCAGACCCCAAACTTTTCCACAGCACTACAAAATCATAAAGATCAGGCAAAAAAATGTCCTGTGAAAATCAAAAATCTTAATTTGAACATTTAACATAAATTTACTTAAAAATACTTGGTTTATATACGTTCATTCTACTGTTTTCTTCTAATTCAGGAATGACACAGATCTCATCAGGTTAAATGCTCATACACTCACTGTCACTGTATACAGTATTCATCAAAAATGGCCTTTTGTGGTTTGACAGGTGCTGACTGAAGAGGGTTTCGGAGCCATCACCACAGAAATAACAATGGCCAAGGAGTTCTACTATGCAGAAGACTATCACCAGCAGTACCTCAGCAAGAACCCCAATGGCTACTGTGGGCTGGGCGGCACAGGGGTCTCCTGTCCAATAGGGCTGAAGAGTAAACATTAACACCCTTCTCCTGTCCTGTGACTGGACAAATGTATATTAACATGCCTTAACTAAAGCAATCAGTGCTGCAATACCCAGGCCTATATGTCGTTGTTGGATATAAATAAATAAAAAAAAGAGAGATTATAACGCAACTGACTTATAATGGTTTTTGTATGTGAGTGTGTCTGTGATCATTGCATTTGATTACAAAACCAAGTGACATTTTCTATCTAATGCAATGACAAGTATACATTTAAAGTTTCAATATAGAAGAGGAAGACACTTCTTGTTTACGACAGGCAGGATTATGTGTTCACGATCCATCTGTCTATTCCATTCGCATACATATCTATTCATCCCACCATCTGTCCGCTACCTACTGTATGCGTTTGGTTCTATCCCAGCTGCAAGAACAAGCGCAGTCGTCCCTCTCTAAAAGTGTCACCACATATTTCATCTCCTCAATTAAGGCTTGACTGCAATCCCACACAAACAAACACAGCCTCTTGCATTCATACAGTGGAATCTGTGTATGTTTTACAGGGAACACTGCAAAAAAACACTGCAAAAAAAAAAAAAAAAAAAAAAAAAACGGGGGCCCTTTGGTTTTCATGCACAATTGTTTGTGCCATCAACAATGTAGCTCTCCTAATGAGAAGAGAGTTAAGAATTATTCATTTATTAAAAACAGTAAGTTAAGGAAAGTCTGTTAAAACATTTCCCAATTTATGATGTTAATATCAAGGAATTTTCTGTTGATTTTTCACTGGTGTTTTAAATGGAGTGCTGAAAAAATAAAAATAATGTATTTTTGAAGGACAAAACTCGTAAACAAGTAAGCATTTTTGAAGCGGTGTTTGGTTAAATGCCTGAAATAAATTCTGCGGTGAACACAAGCCCAAAATATTTTCACATTTTATTCTACAACATAAGATACATCAGTAATACATCCTTATATATATATATACTTTCGTCTGGTGTTGTTTAAAGCCTTTTGAAGCTGCACTGAAACTCTCATTTGGACCTTGAACCGTTTGGCTCCCAATGAAGTCAATTATATGGAGAAAATCCTGGAATGTTTTCATCAAAAACCTTAATTTCTTTTCTACTGAAGAAAGACGTGGACATCTTGGATGACATGGGGGTGAGTAAATTATCAGCAATAGTTTTTTAAGTGAACTACTCCTTTAAAGGACTAGTGAGTTAAAAGAAATGTCTGTAAACAAAGGTACTGGTAATTTTCTGGCAGGACGTTTTTCTAGAGATATTTTCTTTCTTATAGATTACAGTCCGTTTGTCATGATGGACTACCGTACCGCCACCCATCACAACACTATTGGGGGAATAGTTTGATATCTCATTTGGAATATATCCTTTACAAACTAAAATTTTGAGACACACAACCAGTAACCAGTTCAATACAGCTTAGACGTAAAAAAAAATTTGAGAAAGCAAAACTTAAAAAATACAAAAATGAGAGAAAGCATAATTTGCATTATTAGAAGTACAGTGAATTTGATATTGTACGTGAGTCAAAGACACAATTCCTTCAGTGTTCACAGCAAAATTGTGTGTTTGGAAAAGCAATTGGTGTTTACGGAGGGTCTCTGGTGTGGTTTTGGCTAATCCGCTGAGCAGGTGGCGACCGCTCCATGCACCTTTTCCTGTGCCACACTCAGAGAGGGTCTCTCTGGGCAAGGCTGGCACTGGTGCTCAGGAACCTGGCCTGGCACAGCTTCCTACAGGCTGCTTTCAGCAATGTCGTGAAACAAGGACACTTGGTGACGCACTCACTTTGGCCCTAGAACCTGGGACTGGAACGCACACACTCTGTTTACTTGGATTAGCCAAATTTGTAACCGGGTGGGTCACAAAAGTTTTGTAACTTTTAAAGTTTAAGGCGGCAAGCAAAATGCAATACAATTGACTTAAGGACATCATATTTAATCGAGTAGTTTAGTTATCAGTAACACATGGTAAGACTGCCATCTTCCGGTGGATAGTGACACGGCAGTTGCGGGCAGTAAATTAAACGGGTCAAATTATTATCCAGAAGTTTAATTATATTATATTGAAATTGATGCTTTCTTTTTCTCTTCTCAGAACCAAAAAATGTTTTAATCCGATAGCATATTATACCCATAGACATGTAAACGTATTGTAATGACCTGGCAGTTAGCGCCATAGACATATACACGAGTTAGCGCTAGCAGCTGGGTGCATTATGGGTAATTGTGTTTTGAGAGTTGATTTATGTGTTATTACAGTAAGATGTTTAAGTTTTTGTTATAGTAAAGTTATGTGTGTTAATGTTCAAGTTGATCAGATGTTCTTGGTTCATTTACTGCCTAATGTAAAAATGTGTCCCTCACCGTCATGGAGAGAGATGTGTAAGGCAATAGGGCCCTGCCTGAGTACTAGATCATATGGTATTTCGAAACATAGGTGGGAAAAGTTAGCGTTACTGGTGCCTGTTAGTTTGTCAACAATTGTTCCAGCTGTGGAAACACCATCAATTGTAAAAAAAGAATCACTCAAGGTCGTGCGGTGTATGGGACGTGAGTGTTATTATCACTTGTTAGTAATATGACGAGTAAAAGTGTTAGCTCCGGTTAGACCCACGTTTTATTTGATAGCTACCAGGTATTATGTCTTAAGGCGGAGTTTCTATCGTCATCACCGGCGGCCATCTTGTCACAGGCAAGTTGATGTAAGATGAGTGGTCAGCACGAACACAAATACTCTTATCTCATTTAAATCTTGACGAATTTACAAACGGTTTGGTTTCTTACAAACGTTATTAACGTGGCTATAATTATCTGGATGATTATTTATTTATACGCTTATTATTCATAAGTATGCTGTGTCATAACTGCATCTCTGACGATTATAACAAACCAAACCGTTTGAAAATTGAGCAAGTTATGGTTATTTAAATAGTACATGTACCATTAACACATGTTACGAGTGAGCGAGCTACCTTTGTCAAGATGGCGGACGCCAGGTGCAGTCGCGCAGACATCACACGTCATCACCGCGTTCCGTGAGGTCTGTCTGTCTATCTATCTATCTATCTATCTATCTATCTATCTATCTATCTATCTATCTATCTATCTATCTATCTATCTATCTATCTATCTATCTATCTATCTATCTATCTATCTATCTATCTATCTATCTATCTATCGATCATATCTATCTATCTATCTATCTATCTATCTATCTATCTATCTATCTATCTATCTATCTATCGTACAGTATAGTCATCAAAATTCACACCAGAGTTTTAAAACCAAACTTTTTTTTAATACTAACAAAGAATCATCTCAACTACTTGTACATGGCTACCATGAATATTTGTACAAAAATGCAGTAAAAATATTGATTAATATATACAGATATGTCTCCTTAGTGTCGGCAGGCAGGACGCACATGTAGATGACAAGAACACCAATGGTCTTGCACGAGTACACAATACAGATATTGTTTTCCAACATCAGTGACACTAACTCCAGATCAAAGACTTTAAGAACAGAGATATTAATCATGTCTTCAGGAGTACATGACAAATAAAAGGAAATACAGTTACTGAATGATACTGTGTATAGTCATGTGAATAAGAAAGTGCAATACAGAACAATACAAAAATCTTAAATTACACGACAGTAAGGAAGGCTGGCAGCATGAGAGACTGCGATAGATTTTTGTAGATTATGGGAAGAGCTGATTGGCCAAGCAGGCAATAATGAATCGGAAGGGAAAGTCCAAGGCAGTGGACGGTTGGTATCGGTTTTGTTATATTGCTCTCGCCCCATTCGTTTACACATGTATCGTATTGACATGTTCTGATCCTATGCCTCTTATTTTCAGAGAAGCGGACCAGAGTGTGCACTGCTAACCTTGTGAGCGCTAAATCAAATAAGGCTTGAGGCTGCGGTAGCATATGGAGACATCTGTGTCACAATGCAGACGCCGGCAATGTCAAAAGAGAGCAGTAAGAACCCTGTTTCCAGAACAGCGAAGGAGTCACTGCTTCATTGGGATGGGGTGTATTACTTCTACATTCTTTTAGGCGAATGGACACAGACAGACAGCATTTGGACCAAGGAACAATCCAATTCAACAGGAAACATGGTAATATGAAAGCTGTGGCTACCCTTAACAGGCCGTGAACACTGAACAACAGACGTTTAAGCCTGATAACCTTCTTAAATGCACAACACACTCGTACAATAATACTTCACCGTAGGGTGTCAGTCAAGTATCACAGTAATGACACATCACAGTGTTGATATACTGTCCGGGACGGGTGTCATTTATAGTCTTGGAAGAAAAAATATAACCTTTTAACTAACTAATGTTTGTTTGCTGACTATTCAGGGTTGTATGGTTTGTGCATGCCTTTACGTTATGTACTATGGATACATAAATCAGTTTTTTTTTTTTTTTTGTTAAATAATCCATAAATGAGTTAAGCACACCAAAAAGATATTGAATAGGATAAGAAAGGTCGGCTTCACCCTCATAACAATAGCTTTTTGTTACACACTGTGTAATAGCACTTGGAAGATCTGTCTCAATAGCGTCATACATGATTTCTTTGAAATGATTAGAAATGAAGTGAACAAAGTCTCACAAACTACGAGGAAATCTATGGTTTTGGACAACTACGATAAATTCTAGAAACAAGTAACCATGCATATTACAGACTTCATTAAATGACATCTGATTAGCCAGTGATGTCATCAAAACTGTAATGGGAGCTAATGGGGGGGAAAGCTCTTTAAGGTTTCCGTCTTACAAGGGGCACCAAGCACGACAAATAAAAAAACAAAAAAGATTCATATTGAAGGAGCAACTCATAGTTTCATTGAAAGGTGCATGGCATGAACAAAAAATTCAGCTTATTGTTCAGAATAGCATCGTTTTTCTGTAAGAACACTGTCGGCGAGACATGTAGACAATTATACATAGCGGGAAATAAAAACATATATTTTGCTACCAGAACATGCACTGGCCTGAAGGGAACTATTCCTGCAGTCTGCACTTTTTTGCAATGCACAAGTAAATCGTTTGCCGTCCTAGGATTATTTGACAGAAATTTGTTAGGCTAGATATATTTTTAAGGGTGCCACATGCAGCGCTGGTGTTTAGCCACATTTAGTGGCTTGCATGCCCTTATGAAGAACATACTATTATTAATGGCTTGCTGGGTACAAATGATGCATATTTGCTGTGCAAGAGCAAAGCCAAATGGCCAGCTATTAGCCAATAGGCACATCTGAGACCATCACGTGCCACGGTCCAGTAGCCAATCAGAGACATAGGTGAGAGCAGGGACAGGTACATGCTGCCTCTAACTGGTGATCAGATGACATTACAACAGAGTCAGATTGGGAAAGAGGGACAGAGAGCGGCCATATTGAACACAGAGTATTGCCAACATAAAAAAAAAAAACAAAAATAAAAAACTTGTGACAGCACATTGAGGATTTTATACATGTGTGTGCTGAACGAGAAACACAGGTCAGAGTCCCTCAGACCCTGGTTGTGTGTTTAACAAGGTTCTGAAGGAGGGTGGCCGAGATCCTGTGATGGAGATGGTGGAGGGGTCAAATCCTCCTGACTCTGTGTGGAGCTGTAGAGTTCAGTGTGAGACAGGCAGGTCTGGGCGCCGGGTCTGGATGATTTTTGGTTTAGGGTTGATCTTTGATTCCTCCTCCTCCTCCTCCGTGTCACTGTCACAGACGTGGACCACCACACTGGGCGTAGACTCCGTGCCTGCGTGCAGCTCAAACTTCTCACCTGTGTGTGTAGAAGAGGAGAATCTGTTAGCTTGAGGGTTTGGAATAGGGCTGGCTGATACATCGAATACTTATAACATTTGGCCCCTATGGTAATGCTGCCCCAAAGCGGCCTGGTTACAAAATATTTTCAAAATATCGTTCTTTGTGTTCAGCACAACAAAGAAATATATACAGGTTTGGAACAACATGAGGGTGACTAAATTATGAGAGAATTTTCATTTTTGGTAGAACTATCCCTTTAAGATAGAAAGTTTTAAAGGAGTAGTTCACTTAAAAAAAAAACTTTTCGCTTTTTCATTTAGCTAGATAAGACCCTTATTCATCCTCTGAAATCGTTTAAAGCCCTTTGAACAGTTTGCACTGAAACTATCGTTTGGATCTTGAACCGTTTGGTTCCCATTGAAGTGCATTATATAGAGAAAATCCTGGAATGTTTTCATCGAAAAACTTAATTTCTTTTCAACTGAAGAAAGAAAGACACGGACATCTTGGATGACATGGGGGTGAGTAAATTATCAGAAAGTTTTTTTTTAACTACTCCTTTAACCTGTTAATTGAGTGTGTTTTTAACTTGGATGTAAGATTTGATGATTCATTCACCAAACCTTTGAATGGTATTGTAGGTATACATTGCTGTTTATTATTATTATTCTCATTCAAAATATCAGATTTTAAATACAATTTTTGCATTAAACATTTTTTTCTTAAAATAAAGTTTTTGTACATAAAATGCTTATGCTGCATTCCATGCAACATAAAACTTAGATCCCTGGTTGTATCTAATGTCACATGGTAATGGTTAATGGTAAACATTCACTTTTAAGCAAATGCATTGCATTGACAAGTCAAATTTACTTCTGTGTGGTTTTAAAAAAAAAAACTGTTCAGCAAACATTTGCAGAGAGAGATGTGCATTTTTACTTGGTCATTTGAAAAACACATGCTAGCATCAGTGCTAATTTGGAATACATTATCCTGCAATATTAACAATGAGACCTAGAGGGCGTTCTCTCTCCAGATCTCAATGTGAGCATAGTGAGGATGTTTCAGGCTGGCTGTGAGTTCTGCGGTTTTGCCAGAGAATACCAGCAATGAACCATAGCAATACTCGCAGTAAACATACACCGAATGCACTGGGGAACAGTGTTATATATCCAATGCTAAAAATCCTTAACACTAAGTTACCAGAATGAGATCTGTTCACTTCACTCAGAAATCGCCAGAGCCCGTCAGTCAGAGCAGTCTGAGGGGGTTTCCACACTTCAGGTAATTAAAACTACAACCGCACACATTCACAAGAGATAAGCAGCTTTTCTGCATCTCTCCATCCCTGTTTCACGACGGCTAGATGAGGGTCAATATTTGAAACGTGTTAGACGAATTCACTCTATTGTGTTTGTTTACCAGATAGAACAGAACAGGCAGCTGAATCAAAGTTTACCAATGTGCCTTTGGGCGGTATGTGTGTGCAGTGCATTGTGGTCACCCAGAGGATCCAGCACACTCTAAAGACCCTCTCATCTTATGCTTTTCTAGAAGTCTCTGGCTAACATTGTCTTTCTTCCCCTTATGTTTTATGTGCTCATGTTTCCTTGCGCACACACAAACGCGAATCGCATCCAAAGTTTTAATCTTCTCACTATTTTGACCTAATTCAGTTACGCATCTTATGTTTTATTCATTCAAAACGCAGTCGTTCAAACAATGTTCCAACAAATTTACAATCCGTCGCCGCATTCCTCTTCTCCTGCACAGCCTCCTGAGGGCTCAGCTTCTCTCAGAAACCTGGGCATGACGTCAATGCTGCATATTGACGTCAAGGGTCAGACAGTCGAAGACAGAAAGAGCAAGCAATCAAGCTTGTTACCGCTGAGATGAAACTTTAAAGGCTTCCTAGGCCGTTAGAAACCCTACAAGGGGATAAAAACGCAAGGTTGTTCGGTGTTTGTGGTGATGTTACTTCGCTGTCCCTCATAAAGCAGGAAGAGCTGCTAAAAACAAGTCTTTATTAAATCAGCAGTGATTTCATTGGCATGCGGAGCACATCTCTCCAGCTCTATCCTCCGCCACTTATCAAGAGCTGTGTGTGTGTATGACAGGCGTGCACCATTGAGAAGAGAGAGGTGGTGAGCGTGTGTGGCTGCAGAAAGGCCAGATGGATTTCGTCTGGTTAGTATAGGTTCAGTGGGCCGGCACAGGGTATTTTTAGAGCATTCTTTGGAAAGAGGGGGCAAAACACTTCACTTCCGTTCATCCTTTTAAAGTCCTCCTCTCCAAAAACACAAATGACAATTTCTGCATTCCTAAGCAATCGTCCTTAAAATAAACCCCCTCTTCTGATTGAAAAAAATTAACCCTTTATACAAGAAAACAGGACCAATCTGATAATCCCAGCTGCAGACTGAATAACAGCCCGTGAATGGATAATGACTCGTGCAAATTGCTGCGTTTTCGGTGTCAGCCATCTGCCAGCGTGATTGCAAATACCCTCAGATAAATAGTCATAAGTGAGGAGCCGTGCTGTAGCGTGCTTTGATCCATTGACATTATTTCTATTTCAAACCTCTACGGTGGCACTATGACCTTTCAGAGCGCTGGTACGTCCACCTGGGTTTCCGCATGGATTGATCAGCAGTGTCAGGGAAAAAGTGCAAAAACTGCACCTTTAGATTTTCATAGTGGCAGAACCCTCGGAGGAATACTTTTCAACGCCTTTCATGATGTAGACACTTATGATCAAACATGAATTAACATTGAACACACTACCGTTCAGAAGTTTTTAGTCTGTATTTTTTCACGTTTTTGAAATAACTATCTTATGCTTCACATTTAGTTGATCAAAAATACTGTAAAACTAAAATTGTTGAATTTTCAGCAGCCATTACTCCAGTCTTACAAGTAACATTTATTATTATCATTGTTGAAAACATTTGTGCTGCTTAATATTTTTGTGAACATTATGATGCATTTTTGATCAAGCGAATGCATCCTCAAAGTATTTCTTTCTTTCTTTCTTTCTTTCTTTCTTTCTTTCTTTCCAAAAAAACAAAAAATCTTACCGACCCCAAACTTTGTAGTAAAACTTAAAGGAGTAGTTCACTTTTAAAAAACTTTTGCTGATAATTTACTCACCCCCATGTCATCCAATATATCCATATCTTTCTTTCTTCAGTCAAAAAGAAATTAAGGTTTTTGATGAAAACATTCCAGGATTTTTTGTTCTGTGATGCTCGTTCGTGACTCTCAAAATGAACAAATCTTTTTTCGAGTCATAACTCGAAGGGTCCTAGATAAGACCATTATTCATCGTCTGGTGTCGTTTAAAGCCCTTTGAAGCTGCACTGAAACTCTCATTTGGACCTTGAACTGTTTGGTTCCCATTGAAGTCCATTATATGGAGAAAATCCTGGAATGTTTTCATCAAAAACCTTTATTTCTTTTCGACTGAAGAAAGAAAGACGTGAACATCTTGGATGACATGGGGGTGAGTAAATTATCAGCAAAAGTTTTTTTTAAAAGTGAACTACTCCTTTAACCACACTTAATGCTGTAAAAAGTGTAGTATGCATAACTAAAAGGGCTCTAAAAGCATAAAGTAAATATTCTTTAGCTCTGGATAGCCTGAAGTAAAGGATTTGGAATTGTGTGTCTCTCAGGGTGAATTCAGTGTTGCATCATTTTCATGCGTTCAGGTCTCTGCCATACATGCTCAAATTGTGTATGTCAATGTCTGTTATTTTTAGGGGACTGATAGGCCCCTGCCCCTCATTATAAAGAAACTATTGTGCATGACAGTTCTTAATGCATTTATGCTAATAAATAGACATATGCCACATAGTTTAAGATCTTAATCCAGTACAAATATAAAGCATATGCTCTCTAAGCCTCAGATCAGGTTCATAGGTGTTCAATTGAAAAGTTCTTGTGCTTTGTATAGCTATAAGAACCCTCTCTGGGCCCTGCACGCCCCACATGCTTGGCTCCAGGTCTGTTATCTAAGCGTCCACAGATGCAGCAGGAATATTTCATTAAGTGCTTTTGCTTTCTCAGGGTGAAGCGGCTGGGTATGTGCCTTGTAAACAGAGCAGGGAACAACAAAAGCCTTTTGCTTTAATGAGCCGGAGTGTGCGTGTATTGTAGTACTGTACAATTTCAGTGCGGGCCATGTGGAAAACACAGCCTCTCAGACACACACTTGTGTATGGAAACACGCGCTTAACAATGGAAAAAAAGCTTCCTTCCACAACAACCACAATCATTATTGCCATCCGACAGCAGTCTAACACAGGGCTGAATGGGCTGTTTGTTTAGCTTGCCACATGGTTCCACTTGAGTGCTGTGGATTGCTCACCAGTTTGTACCGTCTCCTCTGTTCCCTAATTGCCTTCAATTGCTATTAACATGCGCCGGCTTTGTGACCGGACAAGGTCAAAACTTTGAGGCACTGAAACGTCACTGAAGCGGCAAAACAGATCTCAGTCAATGTTATGTAAAATTAATATTGAAATTAGGACTGGCTACTGAATATTCATGAAATATTTGTGAAGATTTAGCTGCTAATATAAAATGTTTGCATGCCTTTTAATTGATAATTTAGTTTATTAAATAAAGACTCCAGATTCATTTAGCAAGCATGCTTTATCTTGCGTCTCTGCTTTAAACTTCAGTAGGAAACCGTTGAGGATAATTCTGATGAGTCATGAGTCAAAAATCTTCACTGAAGTCTCTAATAGTACAGTATATCAAAATATATAGATAAATGTATCCCTTTTTCAGCTGCAACCAGGTGAAATGGGTATATTTGAACTGAATTATGCAATTCAGTGTGCCTTGTCTTTTCTCATGCACTGAATCTACTGTAGTGTAGGCCTTGTTTCATATGGTTCAATGCTGCGCTTTAGACTTCTTTGACAGGCAATTAAGTGGTAATAAATAATAATAATGTACTGTTCTCTAAATTCACTTTAAATGTTGTTGTTTAAAGACTTAAAGCAGAGG